AAAAAAAAAAAAAAAAAAAAAAAAAAAAAAAAAAAAAAAAAAAAAGGACTGGGATTTAGCTCAATGCAAAGCCCGAAGTCAACCCCTGGTCCCATCCCACCCCCCAAAAATGCTGTAGCTGCTGCAGACATTAACTATTTTAAAATCAGAACAGGTCTCAAATGAGTCTCCAAAGTAGCTGTTGGTTATACTTGAGAAGATGGTTGGCTACACCTGAGATATGTGGTAAACGATGTGCACGGCTGACCTAGAGCTAGAGGAGGGCATGAAGGATAAGACAGGACACACCTTCAGTGAAAGGTCAAGGGGCATAGGAAGGACATCTGTCCTGTCTCCAAATGGGGTGGGGATGTCTAGAAAAAGACTTCTCAGTTTTCACAACAACAGGTCAATGCCTCAGCTAAGTCTGGGGTTGAATGTACAACCCTCATGCGGCCAGAGGCACTAGGAGATGAAACACATAGAATTATTCTCAGCTGAAGCAGAATGAAAACAAATGAGAAGGCCTCACAGAAGTGTAGAACACCAACATATACGAAATGGGAGTAACAGGCAAAGACAGTGGGGGTGGGGAGGAGGACAGACAAGAGCAAAACAAAACAGAACAAAAAACCCTGAAGAATAACGGCTGAAAACTACCCAAATTCCCTAAAAACAAAAACATATACATCCCAGAAGGACAACAAACTCCAAGATAAATGCAAAAGGCCTACAATCTGACACATAGTAAAATGCTACAAGTCTATAATAAAATAAGGTGAAAATCTTGAAAGGAGAAAACAGAAATGACTTGTTACTGATGAAGGAACAACTGAATTAGCAGAAACAACAGAAGCCAAAGGAATATATTCAAAGGGCTCAGTACTGGTAGAGCTATCTTTCAAAAACTAAAGGCAAATCAGAGAGTTTGCAAAACACACACCCAGAGAATTTGTTGCTTGCAGACCTGCTTTACAAGAAGAAACACAGGCATTTCTTCAGGGTAAAAGTATCCCAAGATAGTAATTTGAATCCACATACACATACAAAAAGACAAAGAACACTGATAAAGGAATTGTGTAATTATAACTTACAACATAAATGACTATTTTTCTCCTTTATTCTCTTAACTGATTTAAAAAGCAACTGTGGAGGCCGGTGATTTAGCCCAGTGGTGGCACCTGCCTCACAAGCGCAAGGTACTGAGTTCGATCCCTGGTACCAAAGGGAGAAAAAAGCAATCATGGGGACTGAGAATGTATGTAGCTCACACACTTGCCTACCATGTGTTAGGCCCTGGATTTCATCTTCAGCACCACTTAGATAATAAAAATGTTTTTAAGTGACAAGTAATTGTATAAGATAACAAACATGTTAAAAATGTAATGCTGAGTCTACAACATACTGAAATGTCAATATGTGACTATCAGTACCGAAAAAGCTCCATGTGACCAAAGCTATGCTGGGCTAAGGAACCTTTGGACCTAAACCTTATACCATATAAAAAAGTTAAGCCCGACCTGGTGGTACATGCCTAAAATCCCAGCACTCTGGGAGGCTGAGTTAAAATATTTGCTCTTCAGAACATTAAGGCTATAAGCAAAGAGTACATAACTTGTCTACAAAACAAAGATGCATGCCAGTGTGGTAGCACGCACCAGTAATCCCAGTACTTGGGAAGCTAAGGCAGAAGAATTGAGTCGAGGGATAGTCTAGGCTACATAATGAGTTCAAGGCTAGCCTGAACTATATAGTGAGACCCTGTCTCCAAAAACAACAATTAAAAAAAAATCCTGTTAATTGAAAGATACAGACAAAATGAACCAAAAAGATGACGAACACCTCCCGTGGGTTCATAAGTACACCTGACAGAGCCATAGAAAGAATTAGTGAACCTGAAGACAGAATAATAGAAATTACTCAGAGTAAAGGGCAAAAAGCAGACTACAGACACATGGCAACTAGATATACTGCGTGAGTGTAGACTGATCCTGGGCTAGGGAAAAATTAGCTATAAAAGGTCATTATTGAAACCACTGACAAAACTGAATAATGGGTTGTGAATTACTGGAAGATATCATATTCATGATATGTCTCTGGATTTTCATCAATGAGTGTTTTTTTTTTTTTTTTGGAAATACACATTGAAGTACACTATACACAATATCTACTCTCAAGTGGTTTAGAAAAAGATATGCAGAGAATAAATGATAAAGCAACTATAGCAAAATACAAATACCTAATGAGTCTGTGTAGAAGGTACATGAGAGAATTGCCTGCAACTCTTCAGTAAGTCTGAAATTGTATCTACCAAATTACTCAAGTATCCCCCTACTGGCCCAGATGGCCCCGGAAGGTTAAGTCTACTAAGCACTAAAGAACAGTTATTTCCAATTTATACAAACAGATTAAGAGAATGGTAGAATGCGTCCCAACCTATTTCATAAAACTAATAGAAATAACAGTACCAGGCCAAACTCAATTCTTAACAAGTTCTTTAAAACCCTGAATATAGTATCATCAAACCAAATCCTGAATATAATATATATAAACCAGGAGGGCTGGGTGTAGTGGTAGAGCACTTGCTCAGCATGCACAAGGCCCTGCATTCCATTCTCAGTACCAGGAAAACATTCAACTAATTAGTAATTTTTAAAAAACAGATCTTGAAGATTTGGGGCAGTGGTACAGAGGGTCTGAACCAAAGGCCTTCACACTGAGTTACATCTCCATAATTTTTAATTTTATTTTGAGACAGGCTCTCAGATGCCCATGCTGAGACTAAATTTGTAATCCTCCCACCTCAGCCTCCTAGAGTGCTGGGATTACAGGCAAGCATCACCACCCCCTGGCTTCAAGGATGGTTAACATCAGAAAATCCATTAATGTAAAATAATAAATTAACTGATTAGAAAAACTGTATAACTGCAACGAACACAAAAAATAAAGCCCCTAATAAAATACAGACAGCATAGTGGCACAAGCCTGTAATTCCAGCACTCAGGAGGCTAAGGCAGGAGGATTGTTGCTGAGGAGTTCAAGGCCAGACTAAGCTACACAGTGAGACCTGTTTTAAAAAAAAGTAATGTCAGGCCAGGGATTTAGCTCAGTGATGCTGCTGCCTGCCTTGCAAGTGCAAGGTCCTGAGTTCACTCCCCGGTACCAAAAATTAAAAGTAATGTAAAATTAGGAAAGAAAGGTAATGACTTAACTTCATAAAGATATATTCTAAAATCCTACAGAAAGGATTATATTTAATGCTAACAGACTAAAATCACTGTCTTAAGTTGAAAGAATAAGAATGCTCACCATCACACTTCTGATCAACAATGTACTGGAGACTTTGGCAAAAGTTAACAGTACTAAGAAATAAATGTCAAACATCGGAAAGAAACAAAAGGGGAGTGACGGCATATGCCTATAATCTTAGCACTCTGGGAGGCAGAGGCAGGAGGAACACAAGAGTCCTAGCCTGGGCAACCTAGTGTGACCCTGTCTCAAAATTTAAAAAATAGGTGAGTTGTGCATCTAGGCTTCTACAGAGGGTCTCCTGGGATGTAGGAATATGGTGGTCCACTCCCAAAGCAATTTCTTATGTTGGCAAGTCACAGCCTAGTGGAATGAACTGGACTGTGAGGAATGCAGGGATGTTGGGATGTTGGGAGTGCTGCTTGGATGCTTATTTCTGCCAGGGGTAGAGGCAGGATACCAAGGCCAGGAGGATTTGTTACCGCGACATCTCCTTGGAAGCCACACCTCAAATCCTGTTGTGAAGGCAAAGGCAGCCCAGGACTTGGGGTGTTCCATCTTCTGAGACATCCTGTCCTGAAGAGTCACATGACTTACTGGAACCTGACAGGGTTCTTCACACCCAGCACCCATCAGGACTTGCTGCCAGTATAACTGCAGCGGGGAGGGGGGGCCTCTGTTACTTGGCAGCGCCAGAGCTATCTGTTCTTTCTTGCCTTATGTAAAGTCAATTTTCATCTGGCTGGTGATTAACTCAATGAAATTCAGGTAGAGAGATCGACAATTTGAAAACAAGGAGACAGGTGCTAAATGTAAATATGCACGATTCTCAAATATTTTCAAAGAAACACCTATTTTTGGTCTCAATGAAAACTGCTTCCTCTGATTTTCTACTGGCATAAATTTTCATTCAGAAGGCATTAACAGACCCTGAAGTTCACTTGTCCATGGTTAAATTTCACTTTCCTTTTTTTTTTGGACCAAGGATAGAACTTGGAACCTTGTGCTTACGAGGCAACGGTGGCACCACTGAGCTAAATCCCTGGCCCTCCACTTTCCTTTTTTCATAGAAACTGAAATGTCAAGACTTTCTCCAGTTTTGTTTTTTTTTTTTTTTTTCTTTTTGAGATGAGGTCTTGCCGTGTATGTATTTCAGGCTGGTCTTGAACTCACTTAAGTAGCCCAGGCCCATCCCCAACCCAAATTGTCTCAGCCTCCCTGTGCTACCATTCCTGGCTTATCCAGCTATTGATATTTAGCCTTCATAGGAAGATCTGCACAGTAGTGGGAAGGAGTAAGTCCTTACGGCAATGACCATTACATGAAGCAGGTGAAGTTCAGATCTTCATGGGCCTTGCTTGGGTGATGAGCATAGGTGTCTGAGAACCTCCCAGGACAGGTGCACAGCTTGTGCCCCCAACCTTCTAGTCCCCAAGCTGAAGAGGGCACAGACCTCCAGGCTGAAGGTGTCAATTTTCCTTTGTGCCAGAGGCCTCTGCATCTTACTGAGCTGGCAACCTGCACACCATGGTCCTCTCAGGGGCTGAGTGTCTTGCCCTAGGGATAGATGCATTGTCAAGGACGGAGTGTGGTGTGCACAGTTGTGAGGGATTGTGGCCTTCTGTGCAGTGATATAGTCAGTGAGGTTGTGACAGGAGAAGGCAGACTTGCAGTTTAAGACAGGAAGAGCATAGTGGTTTTCTTTTCAAATTATATTGTCAAAGGGCCAGGGATTTAACTCAGTGGTGCCGAGCCTGCCTTGTAAAGTGCAATGCTCTGAGTTTGATTCCTGGTACCAAAAAAAAGAGCAGCAGCAAACCAAATTATGTTGTCAAAATATATTAGCTAAGTTTTCTTCTTGTACCTCAGCTTTCCATAACCTACTGAAACAAAGTCAGAAACTTCTAAGAGGGCCAGGGATTTAGCTCAGTGGTTCCGACACCTGCCTCACAAGTGCAAGGTCCCAAGTTTGAACCCTGGTACCAAACTTCTAAGAAGCCTTTGGTTAAGCTTCTGCCTTTGCTCTTGTATTTTTCAAATGTGTTTGGTTCCTGTTTTCAAAGTCTTGGTATACATTACCCTTTTTTTTCTCTTGACAAAGAGAACCTTAATATTAGTTCCAAATTTCCTAGAATATTCTGTATTTAACCCCCACCCTACGTCTTAAGGTTATTACTGCAGAAGTACATAGTTTTTGTCCGATGCTTATTACTGGAGTCTTTGAGTATATCTTCCTCCAAACCACTCGGACCTTTATCTTTTCAGTCACATGCTTTTATAAACTGTCTTCCATGGATGGCTCCATAGATTTCTCAGAATGCTTTCTACCAGAGGGCAACATATTTAGATATTCACTGATAGGTCTACTTTGCTGACACTATGACTTCCCTATTCTTTATTTTTTAACAATATCTGGATTGTACACCAGAGATCCTGTCAAATGTGTGTGTCGTATTTGTGTCCTGTGGGATTGAAAGCAACAGTTTGAGAGGCTGATTGGACCCTCCAGCCGACACTTTTTCTGGTCCTCTTTGTTCTATGACCCTAGTTAAAGCAACTTGGTTTCAACTAGTCACCTACTCATATGTGAACCAGTGTTTGTCCTATTAAATTTTTATTTTAAAAATAGACTGCACGATTGAATATTTGACTTCTGTCTTTAATGTCCTGTTTTTGTTTTGTTTTCCCTTGAATGTCTTCAGCCAGCCAACTTTACTTAATCTGAACAACTCCCATTTTGTTGCTTAAGAAATGAGTCTGGTGAGCTGGTCTGGGATTTTATAAAATAAGCGTGTAGCCGGGTATGGTGGTGCACACCTGTAATCCCAGGACGGGGGAGGCTGAGGCAGGAGGATTGTTGTGAGTTCGAGACCAGCCTGGGCTACATAGTGAGTTCCAGCTCAGTCTCAACTACATAGTGAGACCCTGTCTCAAAAAACAAACAAACTAACTAACTAAATAAATAAAATAAGTGTGTCCTTTGAATAAAATTTGTTTGTTAGAGACCAAACAAAACGAAACATTAAAAAAAAATGCAGGGTTGGGGATTTAGCTTAGTGGCTGTGCCACCTGCCTCGCAAGCTCAAGGTCTCAAGTTGGACCCCTGTTACCCCCTCCAAAAAAACAGGTAATGCTGGTAAAGATGAAAGTCAGTGTTTATGACTATATGATAATAATTTTACCCAGGGATGTAGCTCAGTGGTTCCACCACCCACCTTGTAAGCACAAGGTCCCGAGTTTAATCCCAAGTACCAAAAAAAAAAGGCCAAAGGCAATGAAAAGGCCATGGGTTCAATCCCCGGTATTCCCCTCAAAAAAAGAAAAAACAAGAAGAAAAAAGAGGGGCTTGGATTTAGCACAATGGCCCAGTGCCTGCCTTCCAAGTGCAAGGTCCTGAGTTTGATCCCTGGTAGGAAAAGAAAAGAGAAAGGAAAGGAAAAAGGAAGAAAGGAAGGAAGGAAAGGAGGGAGGGAGGGACGAAGGGAAGAAAACTAAAGTCTAGCAGAATCTACAACTACCCAACTAATAAGGAAGTTCAGAAAAATCAACATAAAATTGATATGGAAGAGAAAAACGCTAAGAATAGGCAACACAGTATCAAGAACAAGGAATAAATATCACAACTGCAGCGATCAAGATTTATCACAAAGCTACTGACACGGGATTGACAGACTCAGAATGGAGTACAGTAACACGCCCAGGCATATGTGAAACCTGGGTCTGTGCTGTATCGGTAGGAAGGGAGGGACTGATCCCCACGAACAAACAGATCATTACCCGAACTGGACTTAAGACCAGTGGCTCTCTGTAGTTGCCGAGGTCAATGACACCCTTCTCTGTATCACAGAAGACAGGGAGGACGCAGGGCATCCTGTCCTCTGTTGGGCGGGCTCCCAACACTCGGGTGTGTCGGCAGAGGGACAGAGAAAGACTCACAACATGGAAGGCTGGGCAGGAGGAGCCGTCTAGTAACGCAGAAAGAAGGAAAGAAGGACCCCACACAGAGGCAGAGAGGCTAGAGTGTGGCAAGTTCTTGGGTCACCACTGCCGTTTAACCCCCTAATACCACCAAAGCAGGCAGCACAGGAATTACGGTCTCTATCCCAGGAAAAAGAACCAGCGGCTTCGAGGCCAGCCAAGATACAGATCCCAGGGGACCTACTTCTTTTGCACAGAAACGAGGACTTCTCATAGCAGCTCTCGGCGTGCCAGCTGTGCAGGTCGTGGTGCCGCAGCGTCGGGAAGTGAAAGCACTGCAGCTGGGCGCAGAGCACATTGTCGCTCTCAGACATGGCCGATGTAAAGATGGGGTCTGGGGGCAGCAACACCTTCGAGGAGCCTGTTGGAGGAGACAGAAGTTGAGGCTGGACAGATGGCCGCGCACCGTCCCCAAGGGACCATGGTGTCGACGAGACCATGGAGTCAGCTCCAGACATGAGGCCTGGCAGGACGCTGACAAACACAGGAACAGGTATCACCCAAGGAAGACAGTGCTGCACGGTGATCACTGGATGTGCTTCGAGTCAGAGCAACAGCACGAGTAATGAAGTAACGGATGGTGACACGCTGGATTACAATGCAGAAACTCATACTGATGTATAAAATGAATAAACAAATGGAGAAATGAGTAGGGGAAGTTTTCAACAACAGAAACCCTAAACCTAGTGAGAACAACAGCACTCAGAAAGTCTCGGCACTGCGCCTGTAAGGCACATGCTTCAGTCCCACCAAAGCACTGGCATCCCTGGCATCAGGACACAGTGTACCCCTGCAAAGCACTGGTTCTCCGGAGCCCTCCACCAGCTCCGGCCCCTGCCGCATCTGGGGAACTCCTTTAAAAAACTTTCTTCCCTATTTGATCTCTTATCCCAAGGGCTGAAAAATGAACACACTTCTCCTCACCCTTCAAAAGCAAGTCCTCAGGGCGGAGGCTGGTTGCCAACCTCAGAGCTCCTGAGCACAACTGTGATATATAACACCAGTGCTCAAACCAAGGGCACAAATGGCCCCTCAGGGCAGAGCCCTATGACCTGGGCCCACCACCACCAGAAGCCGCCTGAATGGAGGCGGGGACAAATGGGAGGGTGGCTCAGGCTATCAACGAAGTGATGCTTCCGCACGACACCAGGCCAAGGCTCCACTGAGCCACCAGCAGATGGACAACACAGCATTTCCTGCCAGCCAAGAGCAATGCCAACACGTGTACAGTACATCTGCCCGTGGAAGCTGAAGACTGGAGTCCATGGTGCTAACTGTGGGCTGGTCATAGGCACCCCCTGCCCACCCCAAGTGCAGGATGGCAGAGGGAAGCAGATGTTTGCACCAAAGTTGGTGCAACTGAAGTAGGTACTGATGAGTTGCTGCCAGGTTTTCAGCCAACAGCCAATGCCTGCACTGGGGGCAAGCTCCAAGACCCTGGGAAGAAGCACCCCAGCAAGGGCTCACAGCAGAAGCAAAGACCCTGCTCCAATTATGGGGCTGGGGTAGAAGCCAGAGTGGAAGGGGTTGCAGAGAAGAAAGGCGCTGGGCCTTAGTGAGAACTGTGACTGTAAGAAACAAAACCACATGGAGCATGCGCCCAGGAGAAAAGGGCCCTCTTGTAGGTGTATAAAGAGGAGACAGTAGGAGAAAGAGGATTGGCCAGAGGTCACTGTGGTGATTAAGTGCATGAAAATCAAGGTATCAGGTCTGGGTGAGGGCTTCAAGGCTGGTAACAAGTGATGAAATCCTGATGTATATCTGAAAGGATATGAGAGTCAGGGACTCCTGAGCTCCACTAGCAATGACTCCTACAGATTTCCCTCCAAGGCCTGCTTTCTGGATGTGCACCAGCCACCCCAATTTTCCTGAAGGACCCTGGTCTGCCTAGGGTAAGGATCCCAGGGAGAGCACTCAGTTGAGCGAAACCAGGAGAAACTGAAGCAATGACCCACCCTCCCAAACTTCCCCCCAGGGTCCCCTCCTACTACCCGCTCCCACAACAGGTACTCCAAGGTGGTGGCAAGTTCCAGACTGCCCCCATGCTGTCTGCTCGTGAGGTGTACAGTTCTTCAGCCTGGCATACAAGGCCCTCTAAAAGCTGTCTAACTGCGTCCGCTGCCATGTCTCCTGCAGTCCACAAGGAGAGCCACTCCATCTGCGTGTCTATCCCCTACTCCCTCAGCTTAGGAGACCCTCATTATCCCGCCAAGCCTCCACTGTTCCTGTCACAAAGGGCTCTTCACTTACTACTCTCATGCTGACTGCCTCTCCAAGAACTTTCCCTTCCTGTCTTACTACCTCAGCACCCACAGAACCATCCTGCAAGGACCCAAAGGGCTGTCAGGGCCCCCACAGAATGGAGCCCCACAGGATGGAGGCAGCTGCCCCAGTGGGAATTCTGTGGTCACCTTTCCCAGAAAGCAGGGTCTCTGACTGTGCCTTCCAGCAGCTGCTAGATCAGTCTTGTCCCTCCCTCCCTGCTGAGCAAGGACTCAGGGCCCCAAGGGCAGGTTCATGACCAAATCTGACTGTTGATCTCGCTGTCAGGACCTTACAACAGTCACATCCTTCCCTATACAGCCCCCGGACAAAGAAGATAACAACAAAGGACTAGTCACATCTTAAAATACGCCTGAAAGAGAACAAGGCTCCTTCTGTGTTAGGCACCTCTTGACCTCGGTCCACCTGTGATATGACCGAGCCCCAGGAAATGTGCAGGTGTGGAGATATGGTGGGATACACATGGGGCAAAAGCACCAACAATCTTAAATTCACGAATACGTGGACACATTACACAATGTTTCCACTTCTGTGCTTTAAAATTAACACCAAGTATGAACAACCAGAAACTGAAGCACACTTCTAGGAATAAGGATGGGGGACCTAGGCGTGGCATGGGAAAATGTGGAGGATTCCCTCTACACAACAGGGATCCAAATCTTTTCACACTTTCCATAGAAGTTAGCCCCATGTCTGCTGGCAGCACAGCTTTCAGTCTGGTATGCCAGATCTATAGAGCCTCAGCAACCCTGGACAGGTGCAGGGGCTTACGCAGATATGAGCTGGGAGAAACACAGCCACCTTCCAACGCCCTCAGCAGTCCAAGGGGAATGAGCTCCAAACCTAAATGTACAAGAGGTACAATACAGACCTATCATAAACGTGTGTTGATAATACACGCGCACTACTGCGCCAGTATACAATACACATTACCAAAAACACAAGTTGTACACGATGTAGATGAAATAAATATTTTAAAACATCTTATTGTAAGACCTTTCCCTATCATAAGCTAATATGCTTAGGCACAGTATATTCTTAGAGAAGGGTTCATTATTAACAAAATTTAAATATGCTTCTCACTGTGTCCAGGATATGACAGATCCCTAAAACCTCTTCTGCTTTGCACCACGGCAAAGAGCTCCTTTGAGGACCAGGAGGGGGCTCACTGGGCCATGCCTTTGTTTAATTGTACTTTTAGTCTTCTTTTACTCTATAATTTCTTCGAAAACTTTAATGAGGGCTGGGGATTTAGCTCAGTGGCTCCTGCAAACGCAAGGTCCAGAGTTCAATCCCTGGTACCAGGAAAGAAAAAAAACCAAACTTACATGATGTGGACATTTAAAAAATATACAAAAGGAGAAAGAAAAGTGCAATTCTGCGTAGCTTCAGTGTGGAGCTGCATCCCGCGATCTGGTTTATCGCCCACTGTGTGTGCTCCTCCCTGAGCACACTGTGACACCTGAGGCTTGCACACCAGGGCATGTCCCTACAATCACACTACCACAATGCTGATACATGACTAAGAAAGGGAACAGTCAATATCCACTCTAAGTCCACACTTTCCTCAACTGTAGCTGCCTGAGAGTTTTTATATAATCAACTCTTGCAATTCAGGGTACCATTAAAAAAAAAAGAAACAACAACAACAACAACAACAACAAAAAACCTATTTTTGGTTTTATTTTTAATTCCTTAGACTCCAGAACAACTCACGATACTGAGCTGTGTCAAGTGCTGGGCTATTACCAGAAGAATCATTTTTTAACATGTGTACTCTGTGACCACCACTACTTAAATACACTAACAACATCTCCAAATCCACAGACAAGAGAACACAGATCCAAGGCAGAGCTGCTGGATGCTCAGGGCACCCTACAGGGGCATTCTTTCTTGCCCAGGGGCTTTTGCTAAATTGTAGATTCATTCTTCTCATGCACCAGAGCCACTGTGACAAGCATGGTCATTAGAGTCCACCTGGGCCCAATGAAGACATCTCATGCCAGAGATGAGGGTCTGAGCTCACAGCTCAGATACGCTGTCATGCCATACAGATGGATTTCTCTTCTTTCTTTCAACCTCTCTCTCCAGAGGATTAAAACCTAGGCCTTCCTATGGAGCTTTTAAATCCCCAGCATTTTTATAAAGGTCTCCCTAAACTGGGCTAACTTGCAATCCTCCTGCCTTAGGACCCCAGAGTACTGGGATTGATTACTGGATGTCTTCTCTTTAACTATCAGTATCCAGAAGACAACCGTGCTCATGAGTGTTGACACTGTTCTAAGCTAGCCTGGACTATGAAGTTGTAAAGATTCACCCCCAACAACTGTGCTGACAGCAAGTGAAAAACTACTAAGAAAACGATCCTGGGGCCTAGGGAATCAAAACCCATCTATTTGACAACTATTCCTAAGGGAAATCTACACAACATACATAGAAAATCTGAGAACTCAAATGAGGGTGGCCACTTTCAGTAGGAATTGGAGGGTAAAGAGCAGAAGCTGGGCCAATGATGTAGCTCAGCAGCATCAGGCCTGCCTGGCAAGTGCAAGGTCCCAAGTTCAATTTCCAGTACTAGGGGGCAGGGAATGGAACTGGATATGGTGGCACATGCTTATAATCCCAGCAGTCAGGAGGCTGAGGCAGGAGGATCACTGTGAATGTGAGGCCAGCCTGGACTACATAGTGAGTTCAAGGTCAGCCTGGACTACACCGTGAGACCCTGTCTCAAAATAAACAAAAAGAATAGAATGATGTTCTCAGTAGGAGTGGGGAATGTTGGGCATGGCCTTCTCTGCTGGGCTCTACAGAACCCATCTCTGCTCACTGCTCATAGGAGAGGCCCCGCTTCTACAGAGCCCGGACTCTCCAGGAAGCTGGCTGCCTATGGTGCTGACCTTTCTAACCCTGTTCCCAGGCCTACAACTCCTCAACTGTCCTTATCAGAGACACTGAAGATATTAGTGGTGTGGCTTACATGTGTTTAAGGGACGGGGAACTCACATCTAAGCTCAAACTAGAGGTCCAAGGAGCAGCCCAACTAGCGAAGCCTTGATGATGGAAAGGGTAGGACAATGTAGCAAGCAGAGCGCACAGTAGGGGCACCTGGGCAGGAGTTGCTATTATCAGGCTAAAAGGGCAGAAGGGAAGGGACAGGCCAGGACCTTAGCTCCCCACAGAAGCTGTTTCTTTTCCATTCCTTAGTATTTCCAAGCAACTCACATAAAATCTCTGAATCAACCCATACACACACACACACGCACACCCCTGCCTGCTGTTCAACTTTTGGGTTATAACCCTAAACTTCCCTGCCCTAGGAAGTTTCTCTTTCCTTCTTTGGTCCATGTCAGCCCACACTGTATGCTCACTTGTATGCCCCCAAAGTCTTTACCTTTAAATTTATTTAATCTTTACTCCTTTTATCAGGAGTTAGACATCGAACTCCAGATTTTATACATTCTAAGCAAGTGCTCTATCATTGAGCTATGCGCCAAATGTCTCCCTCTTTTTAAAAAAACAATTACTTTTTTAACTGGTACATAAAACAGTACATATCTATGAGGTTTTGATATATGTATACAAAGTGTTACATTTAATCCAATCTCTTTGAACATTCATCTTTCTTTGTGGCAAAGACAAAGTTCCTTCTTCTCTGTTGGAAATGTACAGTACGGTCCGTACTGTTTCTAGAGCCACCTCACAGTGCAACAGCACACCAGAGCTTCTTACTGCTATTCAACTGTAACTTAGCACCCACTTAGCAATCTTCCCCCAACACCCCTCCCCTTACTGTCCCTAGGTAAAGTCACTGATTTTAAGGGAAAGTTGGGGTATATAGAAATTTGGCCACATCGAGAACAACAATGAGCTCCAGAGAAGGCCCCTCCATAGGGACTGACTCTTGTATATGACGGCTGTGCACTTGGGCCACCCCCTCCTATATTCCCTGTATTCAGTGGCCCTAGAAGCCAGGCACAAGTGGAAGGGTTGCGGGGGAGACCCCAGAAATACTGAATCAGGATAACTTCTCCAAATTTCAAATTTAGCAACTAGAAAACTTACCTTTGAATGCCACCTCCCAGCGACCCTCTAAGGAACGGTTCCGGCCAGTGACGACATACTGATAGCCAACCCACAGCCTGCAGGGGTGAGAAACAGAGATCATGCCACCGGAAGGAAGTAACCACCAATGACTTTTCGGGTGTGTGTATGTAGGTATGCATGAATGCAATGCTGAGGACTGACTCCAGGGCCCTGTGATGCTAGGCAAGTGCACTATCACTGAGCATTTTGTTTCAGTAAGAACACTGACTTCTAAAACACTGAACGACAACACAAATGATTTATGTTTTAATACTTAATTTTAAAAAATGCATTAAAGTTCTAAACCATAAATTCACAGGTATAAAAGGTTTTACCTCATGGGGGTCCAACCAAGCTCATTCTTACCAGCTCATCCAATAAAGCTACATTTGAAGCCAGATTAATCTTATTCTCGGTGGAAATAAAGCTCCAGAAACACACACCGTGAATATCAAATGCACAGACCATAATGTTCTGAAGTGTTATGACACACTGGGTTACATCTCCACAAAGAAACAAAGCCTGTGGATATGTGCACCGGCACACTGGACACAGACACGGGCACAGCTTCCCTCACAGCCTGTCTTCTCTGAGGCGTGTACCTGAGGGCACTCAGTTCAGCACCAAAGAGGCCTTCCACAGTGACCTAACCAACCGCTACAAGCAACTGCCAAGTCTGTGCCCCCACCTCAGCTCTCCAGCCCCAGCACTACAGACGTCCATCAGCTCGTGCACCTGCATGGTGGAAGCCTTAGCGCTTGCTGCTCTGCTGAGGTAGGGCTGAAGCGTACACACACTGCTGCCCAGGGAGATGCTCTCCCCACCCGCAGCTGATACACTCTTCTCCTCTGCTGGGCTCCTAGGCATTTCCTTTGTGGGAGTAGTAAGAGTGAGGAGTTATTTTTATCACTTTGCAGCCACAGAAGGAGAAACAGTTTAGTCTTATGATTTGCCAATGTCACGTGGAACATAATATGGAGCTGAAACCCACCTCCAGTGTTAAAACGAAGGCCCTGTGTCCACCTATGTCATCATGCCCCCATGGCGGCATGGCAGCTGCGCCTTTGTAAGAAGCAGGTGACCCACAGGGAGCACCAGCCATCTTTGGGACTCTACATTCCCCTCCAGAAAAGGCTATCCCTTTTTTTGTTGAAAGGCACTCAAATTATGTAGCCCAGGCTGGCCTCAAACTCATGGTGATCCTCCTGCTTCAGCCTCCCACGTTCTGGGATTACAGATGTGCACCATTACGCCCAGCCAAGACTGCCATTTTCTATCTCATACCCCTAACCATGTGGACGGGATAGTGTGACATGACCAGAGGCAGCACATTACAGGTTTCTGCACATATCTGTCCCCAAACAAAAACTCCCTAGATGCATGGCCTGGGAAATATGTGATCAGTTGCCATTTACACATTCTTTTGACACACGGAGCCAGGAGGTCAGGAGCCAAGTCTGGGACAGGCTGCCTGGGCTCAAATCCTAGTATGTGCCTAGTGGTGTTATGTTCATAGTCACTTGTGTACCCAGCATGGGCCCCTGAAGTTTGGGAGGATTGGGCGAACAGGCTCACAGAAAGCACTGAGCATGGAGCTGGCAGAGACTCTTTCTCACAAGGAACCCCCATCTAGCTGTGCACCTCTCACACTAGGCCCACGAAGCCCCATAACAAACAGCTCCTAGGGACACAGGCTGGCACACCCTGGCTGCACTCATCACCCGTCATGCGCCACAGTGGGGAGCAAGTCCCAAGTCCACAAGGCGGTGACAGGGCCACCTGTTCCTTCCCCATCACAAGCTCCTAGCTCCATCTCAATGCACACAGTAAGCCCCTGGCTCTCCCTCTGCTTCTAGTGGGGAAAGCATCTGCTTTCTCCGACACTGGCTGGCAGCTCTGCCTTGCTTCGGGGGGGCCATGTCCTCAGCAGTCATGAGACCCTGACCCCCACAACTCACTTGCGCTGGTCCTTCCAACCAAATGGGACCAGTTCGGGCTGATCCCATTCCTGGGCCAGGACAAAGCGCAGCTCCTCCTCAGTAGAGAAGGTGGCGAGGGAGCCGTTCACACGCTGGCAGGTCTGGGCGGCATCCCAGTAGTTCTCCCCGCTCAGGTACACCCGGTAGCAGCTGGCTGTGCCTTCATAGTGGTGCCATCCTGTCGGGCACTTCCCTAGGAAACATGAAGGATAGAAGGGGAGTTGTCCCCCAAGTTAGGATCTAAACTCACACGGAGTGCAAACATACCTCAGAAATCACACTAGGGAACAGGGCACTACAGTACGTTTAAACTGAGGTAATCATACTGCTTAGGTTAGAAGGGCCAGACACAGGACAGGGCAGCACAGTCCATTGACTCTCTTAGAGCTTTTCCTGGAAACTCTAGAATAAACATTGCCATACATTTCAAATAGGTCAAGGGTGCTTGCCAGAATTTTACCTCTTCATTCTTGAAATGCTCACCAAGTGGTGACTGGATAAAGATGTGGTTTTTTGGACTGGGGATTTAGCTCAATGGTGCTGCTGCCTGCCTGGCAAACACAAGGTCCCAAGTTTGATCCCCAGTACCAAAAGAAAAAAAAAAAGTGTTGCAGTTGTATGTTTTTTTTTTTTTTTAAACAAAATGGAGTACTACTCAGGCATAAAGGAAGGTAAACTAGAGATATTTATAGCTAAAATGATGCCCCTTGAAGCCATACTCTTTTTTTTTTTTAAGTTTACTGGCAAAATTTAGGTATACAATATGATGACAATTCAGCATTAGGAATTTGTACCTTTATATGACATATCTTGATTCTTATTCTTTTCCCTATTCCTCTACCCCTTTCTTCAACCCCTCCACCCTTCCTATTTACAAAGGCTTTTTTTTTTTTCCTTTTCTCTTATTTATTCCTTTCCCCTACCCTTCCCACTTCCCCTTTGGACCTTTTCTTCCTATTTCACATTATCTATTCTATTACACATTTTTTTTTTTTTTTTTTTTTTGCGGTACTATGGATCAAACTCAGGACCTTGCTCTTGCAAGGTAGGCATGGTGCCGCTGAGCTAAATCCCCAGCCCTCTGTTATACATTTTCATCTTTATTTACACTCAGTTTATCATACCAGAGAAACTTCAGTATCTACGCATGTGTGTCTTATTTATTTCACTTAAGAGTATGGCCTCAGGCCAGGATTTAGCTTAGTGGATCTACTGCCTGCCTCTCAAGCACAAGGACCAGAGTTCAATCCCTGGTACCAAAAAAAAGAGTATGGCCTCAATGTGCATCCATTTAGCTATAAATGTCTCTAGTTTCTCCTTCTTTATGGCTGAGTAGCCCTCTATTTTATATTACAACCAAAAAAACAAAAAACAAAACACATCTTTATCCAGTCTCCAGTCAGTGGGCAACTGGGCTGTGGGAAAAAATTTTTTACCAGCTGTTCCTCACAAAAAGGTCTACTATCTGGAACATATAAAGAAGTTTAAAAAATCAGACCTCCCAAATTTAAAGATCCAATCCAAAAATGGGCATCTGAAATGAACAGACATTTTTCAAAGAAGCAGAAATGACAAATAAACATATGAAAAGATGTTCAACATCACTGGTCGTTAAAAAGATGCAGATGAAAACAACACTGAGATTCCACTTTACCACAGAAAGAATGTCTGCTAACAAGAAATCAACCAGTAACAAAGCTGGGCATGGTGGCGTACACCTGTAATCCCAGCACTCGGATCACTGTGAGTTCAAGACCAGCCTGGGCTACATAGTGAGTTCCAGGTCAGTCTCAACTACATAGCGAGACCCTATCTCAAAAAAAAAAAAAAATCAACCAGTAACAAATGCTGGGATTGTGGGGGGAAAGGAACCCTTCCTTCTCCACTGTTAGTAGGAGTGTAGACCAATGCAACCATTGTGGAAATCAGTATGGAGAAACCTCAAAACACTAGGATTAGAGGTCCCCATTTGACTGAGCTATCCCCCTGCTTTGGGCGTCTTCCCAAAAGAATTAAAGGAATCATACCACAGCGATATCTGTACACCCATGTTTACAAAAGCAGAGTTTATAATAAAGGCCATATTCTTAAGTGAAATAAACAGGACACACGTGTAAATACCAAATTGTTTCTCTGGCGTGAGAAACTGGAAGTGTAAATGAGGACCAAAACATATAACAGATATTGTGAAATAGAAACTGTTCAAAGGGGAAGGGGAATTAGGGAGGGGAAATGGGGGAAAAAAAAGAAGGGAAAGAAAAAAATGAAAAAAGAAGGAAAAAACCGAAACAAAGCTTATATAAACAGGGAGGGGTGAAGGGGTTGAAGGGAGGGAACGGAAATGGGGGGGAAGAACCAAGATATATCATGTCCAGGTACAAATTTCCAGTGATGAATGTGATCATGAGGTGTGCCTAAAATGTACCAGTGAAAGACAGACAGACAGACGGATGGACGGACATACGGACACACGGACACACACACACACACACACACACACACACGCACACACACACACAGAGAGCAAGCGAGTGAACTGGAAAAAAAAATGGGGCTTTAGTGCATTTTCTAGTTAATCCCTCTGCAGTGCCAGCCGTGTGTGTGTGTGTGTGTGTGTGTGTGTGTGTGTGTGTGTGTAAAATTTATAGTGGTATATCCAGGTATAGTGGTATAAAATTGTAGTGGTATAAAAATTGTGCGTGCGTGCGTGTGTGTATACATATATACGTATATACATATATACGTATATATGTATATATGTATATGTTTATTTAATCTACAGTGGTAATGGAGATTAAACACAGCCTTACAGTGAGCTACCTCCCCAGCCGTTTTTTTTTTTAAGTCGTTTTTAGCCTGAGATAGGTTCTTGCTAAACCACCTGCCTCAGACTCCCAAGCTGCTGGGATTACAAGCATAAGCCACTTTACTTGTTTTTTAAAACTGTTTTGGTCTTGTTACGTTGCCCAGGCTGGCCTTAAACTCCTGGACTCAAGCAATCCTTGACTCAAGCAATCCTTCTGCCTCTGCCTCCTGAGTAGCTCAAACTGTAGGTATGTGCCACAAAGCCTCACCAAACTAACCGATTGCTTTTTTTTCTTTTTTTTGAGACAGGGTCTCACTATGTATAGTTCAGGCTGGCCTCAAACTCACTATGTAGCCCAGGGTGTCCCTGAAGTCAGCCACCCAAGTGCTAGGATTATAGGTATGTACCACCATGCCCGGCTTACCTATCATTTAAAAACAGTAAAGGGTAAAGGGATCCCCAGCCACCAGCTGTACCTGAATTCTCCGAGCCTGCTTTTCCTATCTGTAAAAGGGAACAATTCAATTATGGGATTTCCCAGTCTTACTTCACTCTCAGGAGCCAGTTGTCCAGAGAAGAGCACCATAGCCTTTTTCAGGGTCCTTGCCCATCTTCACAGGCTGCTTTAGGAAGTAAGCTCTCCCAACCCATAACAGAGAGGCACTGGAAAGGCTGGGAGCCAAGTCTTAAGACTGTAAACTCGAGCCGGGCATGGTGGTGCACGCCTGTAATCCCTGCACTCGGGAGGCTGAGGCAGGAAGACTGCTGCGAGTTCGAGACCAGCCCCGGCTACAGAGTTGAGTTCCACAGCAGTCTGAACTACACAGTGAGACCCTGTCTCAAAAAAAAGAGACTGTAAGCTCAAGATCAAGATGAGCAGGCTTCATTCTGGTGGGGTCCCAGTCAGAGCAGGTCTGCAACTTACTGCTGAAGCGGACAGGCTGTGCCACATTCACCGCGTGGAAGTCCGTAGGGTCCCCTCCTCTGGCTCTCCCCTGCCTCAGGTCCACAGACTCCTTCCCATGGTAAGGCCGAGACTCCCCAGTTACTTCTGAAAGCAAAAAGAGAAGTGTGCTGTGAGCATGACCAGTACAGTAGTGACAAAGCAGCCATGGGGCTTCTCCAGCCATTCCCAAGCTGAACGTCAGCATGAGTCACACTACTCAGGGTAGGAGGGTCACACACAGGACACGGCCACAGAGTCCACTTATTCCCTGGAACTTTACCTTGGAACTCTAGAATAAACACGCCATATACTTCAAAAGGGTCAAGTGTGCCTATTAGAATTACACCTTGGCAGTCTTCACTACTGTACTGCTATTATGAAAAGGGGCTTTACTGCATTTTCTAGTGAGTGCTGCTAGCACTGCAAAGTCAATCCTCCCTTCTTACAATCTTTCTGCAGAGCCAGCTCCACAGGGATGGCATGGGCCATAGGCTGCAGCAGGCCTCGATGCATGTTCAGAGGGTGTAGACAGGGCTGAGCAAGGGAGAAGCACCCAGTTTTATGTAGCACAATCTAATAGTCCTTCCACACACTTTCTTGGAGCCTCCAATCCCCTTGTGAGAGCCAAGACCTACTCTCCTCTCATGTCTCAGGGTGAGGAGCAGACTTGGAGAAGTGAGGTGATTCTCCCAAGGCCACAGAGCAGAAAGCCAGAGACATCTCCTCTCCTGGGCCCACCCACCTCCCATCCCACCTGCACAGATGTACCCTCATGCACGGTGAAGGGCACCTGGGGCAGAGTCAGGTCAGATGGGCAACAAACAGAATCTGCATGGCTGCAAACAGCAGGAAAGACAAGCTACTTGCCAGCAGGCACACACTAGCCGTGGACAGCTGTATGGAAGTGGTAAGGTTCATCTCTTGCAAACCTGTCCTGACTTCAGAGCTGGCAATTGGCCCACTTGCCAAAGCTTCTCTTGCCACTCGGTTCTACTAGAAGCACAGACACTAATACTATCTTTATTTAATAATTTCTTTCTTCATTATAAAATAATAAATATTTAATGTAAAATATCTGAATACTATCAAAATTTGAAGATAAGCTGGGCGTGGTGGTGCACACCTGTAATCCCAGCACTCGGAGACTGAGGCAGGAGGATCGCTGTGAGTTTGAGACCAGCCTGGGCTACATAGTGAGTTTCAGGTCAGTCTCAACTACAGAGTGAGACCCTGTCTC